TCTCGGCGAACAGACTTTAGTTATGGGGCACTGTGTGACACTGTATAAGTCAGCCCCAATTACAAAATGTTTTTGTATTATTTCAAGGTAGTATTAAAAGAAAATGGTGCGGAATCATAAGAGGAAGACGGATTATGGTCTTCACAGTGAAAACGATATGGCAGAAGCGATTTTGATGGTTGAAAGCATTATGTTGGAAAATTACTGACAGATATTGAGGATAATGAATATGACGATAGCTACTTACATAGAAATGGAAAAAATTACAATAATTTATATTTTCCACATGATTTTCTGTTGTATTGCGTCCCTTACCCTGTAACAGACTACCCCAGATACGGGGCAGTACAATTTAAATTTAGTGCTTCCTAATAATGTTAATGTTTGAGCTATTTTAAGTTTATTTTCATACCAAAAACTAGCTGATTAAAACAATATTTTAGTCATTAAAGTCCAGTATTTTTTTTTGGTCACACTGTAATACCCCATCTTTCTTACCCTATTACTGTTTATACATCAGAATAACATAATAGACTATAATTTATAACAATGTGTGACAAGCTAAATTTCTCGCAGGTAAAGCCATGGGCAAAAGCTAGGCTATCTAATTAATAGGTTTGTAAAAAATCCACTTAATAATGTGTCATCAATTAAAAAGTCAAGCTGCATTATTTAAAATCAAGCAGACTTAAACTATTTATGGAATACAAGTACCTAATCAACAAACAAGAGGGGCACAAGGGCCTCTTTCAGTGTGTCTGCAGAGATAGCGGCACAAGCATTGTTCTGTGCCGCAGTACTTGTGCTGAGGAGCTTGTTAGAAGGTAGGTACACATACATAGGTACAATTAGTATTTTAGGTACCTAATTTATTGAATAATATAACAAATAAACACCATAACATTAATAAGAAATGTGATTAATATAATTAATAACCATGTAAAAACCCAAGTTTAAAAGGTTCTGAACGAATTTCACAAAGCAATCTAAAAATACTAAGTATGTAATGTATCACTCAACGAGTAGAAAGGAGTAGGGCTCAACGAGGAACAAGGAGGGCCCTTCACGACTCGCGCTAACTTTAATTTATTTATGTTACAGAAAATGATGGAACACGGCCCCGAGTGTAAACAATATAGCTTAATAGACGTTAATTGCGCGGTTAGTGTTCTGTTTAAACTACTTTAACTTAAATATTGGAGTAACGCACCTTCGAGCGCCAGGTATAGAGGTGCAACCCGGTGACATACGGAGATACTCAACATAACTTTGTCCTTACAACGTCCAATTCACTGAACATATCTCGCTAATCGTCTCTCGTACCATACATACACAGATACTGCCGATTATTTAACACCATTCTACACCAACTTTTAGTCACAATACAACGAACAAAGCACCACCAAACGAATTAAATTATTTTACACCTTCAATGAATCGACCATAGCGTAAAAACGCTCTTTGATTGAAGTGCGTTTGGGAGCTCGGGTACGACGAACGAAGACTAAAATTTTATTCTCTATGGAAATTACATTGAATGATTGAATGGTAAATCTGAATGAATGATCATAGACATACATAGAAAATTTATTAAATGGCAGCACTGTACTAAAATGACAAGTATTCGGCCAATGGACAAAATTCCAGGCCAGAGCCCCGATTACGGTAACTTTTGTAACGTCTACAATCCAGACGCGTTTCTGATTCTGCGATACGATTGGTCAAAACAGCTGACGTACGCTGTTGAACGACGATCGCAGAATCGAGAAGCGTGTCTGGATTGTTGACGTTAAAAATTACCGTAATCGGGGCTCAGGGTAAACTAATTTAAAAAATATAGTTTTGTATTTAGTGTTGTGCCACCAACAACGGCAACAACAAAACCAAAAAAAGATTTATAGATGACCCACGCTGAACTGTCCCGCCAAACTCAATGACAGGGGGGCGCTACCATCGTTCAACTTTATGGTTTCCAACATGGCAAAAATCGGAACCAGCGATTCGGTATTGACGGTGGCGCCCCGCTGTCAATGTCATCGATAGGACAGTTCAGTATTTTGGAACTATAACCTGATTTTGAATATGAGTTTAAATCCACACAACTCTGAAGTCTGTTTTAACTGAATGGACAAGTGAATGCTTTTTTTCGAGTTACACCATCACTATTCGAGTTACTATCAAAAAGAGCCATCCGTGGCATTTATTGTTTATGTTTCTTACCAAGCTCAACTGGGCTTAATGAGATTATTGAGATGTTGTGCGCGCTTTGTGCTCATATTATTATAACTAAATATAATGAAACAGTCAAAACTCAGACCAGTAGTTCTTTCCTGAGATTAAATTAGCGTGTTCAAGCAAACAAACAAACAAACGCTTTCGCTTTATAATATTACTAATGTAGCTGTGCACCGCGACCGCGGTGTCCGCGGTATTTACCCACAAAATTTTTAAATCAGGCGAAATTTCTTTTGACTGCTTGTTTACCTACTTACGGTTAAAAATGGTTTTGACTAACACCCTTGACCAACAAAACCACTTTTAACTGATTTAACCAAGACCAAGAGGGTCGGTTAAAACTACTTTTGACTGATTCTTTGCAAAATGAAAAAATCAGTCAAAGGCCGTCCAATGACCCCAAGCTACCCTTCCTTATCGCTCGCGCGAAATTATATTGCTGACGCAGCTGCGCAACGGACGGCCGCAGTGAGTGTGCGAGCGCGAGTACGTTCTCGGCGACCGGACTTTAGTCTACAGAGACTACGGGGAGTCATAACCAAAGAAAATATTTACTCTGACATAACATCATCATCACTTTTCTTGTGCTTACTACACTTCTGGACACATCTACTGGCCCACCTTGTATTTTCAGTTTTATTTGGTCCTAGCTAAAATTTTATATTAGGTCGACCAAAAAGTTTTGATGCAGTTTTGAACCTGGCACATTCACAATTTCATTCAATAGTCTTTTTTTTAATTTCGAACACAGAGTTTAAAGAAACAAAAGACAATTTGGAGCCTGTTTGTTGATATCAAACAATCGAATACTAAAAAACTTGGTTTTATTGGTTTACTTGGATTTAATTCTTGAAAAAGTGATTGATATCTTTGGTTTTGCTACAAACATTACTGATTCTTAACATTAAGGTGAGGTTCTATGAATAATCTATGGATACTTCACCTGAAGTCGCCGCCCAAGCTGTGGCACTTATTCAGGCCGGACACAGCCAAAGAAACGTGAGTGCTCAACTTAATTTAAGTCGATCTGCGGTCTGAAATGTTTATCGGAGGTACCTAGAGACTGGTGGCTTTGTTCGTCGCCAAGGAAGGCCACGATCTCGGGTCACAACTGAAAGGCAGGATCGATTCATCGTGACGACCAGCTTGAGAAATCGTCACCTTACCTCCATTGAGATACAAAACCAACTTCACGACTTCCACGGAGTATCTGTGAGCGCTCGAACTGTTCGGAGAAGGTTAAAAGAACGCGATATGGTACCACACAAGCCAGCTAATAGGCCCAAACTAATGCGAGCCCACCGAACAGCGCGCCTTCATTTCGCACGCAGTCATTTAAATTGGACACAGCAAGATTGGAGCCGTGTACTCTTTTCTGATGAGTCTAAAATTGTGTTACATGGCAATGATGGAAGGAAAAAGGTCTACCGACGTAAGGGAGAGCGTTTCGCACAATGCTGCTTTGAAGAGAGGGTTGCTTATGGAGGTGGCTCATGGACTGTCTGGGGCGGTATATCCGCGAGCATCAAAACTCAACTTGAGGTTGTTACAGGACCACGGCTGCCAACTTTAAATGCTGAAAGGTAATGTACCTTTCAGTTTCAATGTACCGTGAGTGCTTAGAACCTCACGTGATACCATACGCGGACTATGTGGGTAATTTCCGTTGTCCGCAGTGTCTCAAGTCGAAAGTATTTGACCAATGCGTGTTGCCAGTGATGGTATACGGATCTGAGACGTGGTCGCTTACTATGGGCCTCATAAGAAGGCTCAAGGTCACCCAAAGGGCGATGGAGCGGGCTATGCTCGGAGTTTCCCTGCGTGATCGAATCAGAAATGAGGAGATCCGCAGAAGAACCAAAGTAACCGACATAGCTCGCAGAATTGCTTAAATCAAGTGGCAGTGGGCGGGGCACATAGCTCGTAGAGCAGTGGACGTCATTGGCTGAAACGAACAGGAGTTGAAAACTGCCATAGAAGAGGAATGGGAGATGATCCCTCAAAATTTCGTAGAGCGGTTGATAAACTCTATGCCTAATCGTATGAGAGCTGTGGTAGATGCCCATGGAGGCAACACGCGTTATTAAATTAAACCTTTATTTGATAAAACATGTTTTTTATTCAAAAATCAATTGCCTATAAGAAGGCGCATATCCGACTTGTTAGGCGTAGCTCCATGTCGTATGGTATTCTGAATTCAAATTTAAAACAATACGATCGAAAAAGATGGTAAAATGTATCAGGTTTAAAACTGCATCAACAGTTTTTAATTAATTTAGCAATCATATTTCGGTAGGGGCCATTGAAACCTAAACTCTAATGTGGGCCAATAGATGTGTCCAGAGCCCCGATTACGGTAATTTTTAACGTCAACAATCCAGACACGCTTCTCGATTCTGCGATACGATTGGTCGTTCAACAGCGTACGTTAGCTGTTTTGACCAATCGTATCGCAGAATCAGAAACGCGTCTGGATTGTAGACGTTATAAAAGTTACCGTAATCGGGGCTCAGAAGTGTATAACCGTATCCGTATACCGTACATTTGTTTCATCACATCTACTTCACAAATTATACTGTATATTGTTGATGTTGATCAAATAAAATAAATTAATAACTGTACAGTCTTCTTTTCAAAGACTGTTTAGTTTTTATCACGGATTAGAGAGTATGTCTAAAGGTTTTTATGTTGTTTATAGCGTATGTGTAACCATGAATGAATGTATAAAATTTTTTTTTTGCTTTTAGAGATAGATAAATCAAATGACTTAAAAAGTGGCAACCCCGAACTCGTTTCTTCCTTCATTCCCATTGCCTTCTATTTGAAATAAATTATTACCTCAGTAAATTATAAATAATGGCTAACATAGCAGCGAACCGTATAAAAAGAGAATTCAAGGAGGTCATGAAAAGTGAAGAGGTGAGAATTCTATAGTACCCATTGTTATTTGTGTTATTTGCAACATATAACTTGATGGCACTTACTTGCACTTTTAATAACATGACATATTTTCTTGCAAACATCGATTTACTGTAGTACAAAGTGCGATTGAAAATATTGTGACTAATTAATAATTGTTATCATCTTTATTATGTGTGGCGCCCGCGTGTATTTTTGAAATTTACATGATTCAGCAACTTTTCCCCTCTCATTGTTGCTTGTTTACCTCCTCTCGAAGGCAAATTCAATCTTAGGTTCATACCTTTAAATTGCGGCAATCCGTAAAGTTGGCTTGGGGCTCAATACGTTTGTACTAAACACTGGAGAATGTAGTTGTCAAAAATGTGCAAGTTTAAATTGTTTTTGTCTTAATGAAATTAATGAATAGGTGGAGGAGGTAGGTACCTACAAATACATGATTTTTAGACTTACAATGTTGGGTACTTTGGCACTGTTCTATCCCATAGGATTATTACTATAAGCAGGCAAATATTCCAATGCATATGCTCATGCTCTATTTTTTGTTCGGGATTTTATTTTTTAGAATGCAAGAGCGATTTTTGTGCATACCTTATAGGATATTATTTTGTAACCTTTTGCTTTGTGTGTATGGTAGGTGAGTCAATTTATTATTATTAGACAATATTGTAGGTAAGTAGTAAAAAAAACTTACAAAATTCTTACTTCACATACAGAAAGCGAGACTTATTTTCCAATTTTTTCGACTCATAAGTTTACCCATTACAAATACTTTGTTTTTACTTTATATTAATTCAATAATTCCAAACAGTTCAAGCTGCTATAAACTAAAATTCGTAGATAAACTTGCACAGAAGAAAATGTGCCTATTTAGTTGGCTTGCAATTTATGTAGTATTTTAGGAATTTATATACAGTATGATTGTGATTTCAATCTTCTATGAAAATGTTGCTTTTTGTCATGATGTTAGTTCCTAGTCATACTGATAAATGTATCAATCATAACAAACCTTATTTGAATGCTTTCTTGTATTACTTAAAAACAATAATTTGCACCCCATAATCTAATAAATATCATAACAGGAAAGCAGCATAGCAGCACTCATAATACAGCATCAGAGATAGTAACTACTGGCTCTGGTATTTGATGGGTTTCCATGTTGAAGTGTGACGCTGTGCAGGTGGCGGGCGGCGCCATCAAGCTGGAGCTGGTGGACAACAGCTGGACGGAGCTGCAGGGCGAGATCGCGGGCCCGCCCGACACGCCCTACGAGGGCGGCACCTTCCTGCTCGAGATCAAGGTGCCGGAGACCTACCCCTTCAACCCGCCCAAGGTAACCAATACGACCCATCATTCCCCTTCGCATTCAGTCTAGTGGCTACTTTAGCAGTTGTCATTATTTAACTGTAGAACCTATGTACGTCCACACTGGCCACAGGATTTCCATTGGTGACATTAACCTTCCCCAATAATTTCAATACTGGATGGCTGGAAGCGTTCACATTTTCATGTTTTTAATTAACATCAAAATGTGAACACTGCCGTCCATCTAGTATTTTGCCTACAAAGGACAGTGGGCAAGAATGTTTAAACAGTGGTCCAATATTGCATTTGAAGTGTATCATATTTAATTCAATGGCAGTTAAGCTGAATTCCAGCGCAAACATTATGATTTTGAAGAATATCTGCTCCCAAAACATACAGTTTTGTTTGTACTATTTGAGAGCGCAGACATGATACACAACGGCTTTCTGCCATTACAACATTCATCAAAGCTACTAGCTAAATTCGTGTCCAGTAGTTAAAAGTTAGATGATCATACATGGTGTGGTTTTGTGTAACACCATCTCAGGGTTTGGTAGTACACATGAAAGTAATTACAAGAAAAATATTAAACTATTACTTTAACCCTTAAAGGCATAGTGTTGTTGATGATGTTGATAAAATTGTTCGATAGGAATTGTTCTATGGTTTGCTTATTTGGCATTTCTTTTCAGCTCAAAGCTCTTTTCGAGGTTTATTTCTGCCAAATCAATGTCAAGTGATTAATAAAATAATGTTACAATAGAACATGGGTGTTTTAGTTCTATTGCTTTAACATGGATTTTACGACACTCGATGCCCGCTCAAATTCGAAGTGTTTGAGATTTTGTTTTAATGTTATAAATTTTGTGTTTTCTTATATTTTAATGTATTAAAACACAATGCTCGCCTTAGATATTGACCTGGGTGTCATAATATGAAATAAACTGTACCCCAAATGCAATCATTTGCCATAATTGCAAATGCTGTTGACCAAAGTTGAGAAATTGGAGCAAAATGACTCAACGTCCAATATCAAAATATGTCGGTTGGAAACGACTGGCCACAAGAAAATGTAAAATATTCGCTACTGCGATATTCTATATTCTATAAATTAAATATCAATAACGGTATTTTTATGTGGCACTGTAATACGTATAGGACTATATTTTGATTTTCGTTAAATTGTGTATAATTTTGAAAATCTGCCGCCCGAGGCTTCAGCCTACTCAGCCTGCTGGTAAATCCGCCACTGATCACCCGTTAAACATATTACATCTAATAATTATTACTCTCGGTCCACAAGATTGTACTCAACTGAGACGTTCGACCTCATTTGCGTTGTTCGTTTACAGAGAGCATATTTTACAGCTAAATGACGCTAGAGTACATGTCTCAATTCTTTTTGCATGGAGAAAGTGAAAAGTGTTGCGAATATACATTTTGAAAGCCAGCCAAGTCTGACAGTGACTCTGCATTTCGGCAATCCTGAACTCATTTGTGCTTTCTCATGACTGAAAAATTTCTAAATAACAATAGATCATCATATTACAGAACAAAATCAAGCAATTCTTTTATGCAGCGACCGAAGTTCCTACGCAATTGTCAGGCCGCTAATAGCACTCGCTACAATGCGGTCTACAGTGCCTGTCCTTGCGTATCTAAGGGAGCTTAAAGGAGAGAATAACTGCTTTTCCGAATCATATGTCTGTCGACAAATAACTTTGCTTACACATATTTACTTGTAAAAAAAATTAAATTAATGATGTTAAAATGAACCGACATTCAAAGTCAAATACCTGCCTTATTGTACATTAAAAAAAAATTAGACTTCCTGATCTAAATGGATATCGCGGTAGTGTTCCCAAGGTTCTACGTAAGGTAGAATTGTATTGTCAGCCCAATCGAGTTAACTGCGCACCTCGCTTGCGTCTCTCCCTCCCACTCACCCGCGTTGCCCCGTCCACACCAGAGCGTCGATGTGACGTCACGGCTGCCAGTATAAACGGTCGTAATAGAGCTTCGACGGGCCCTTGTGTCGGCAGATCCGGTTCATGACAAAGATATGGCACCCGAACGTGTCGTCGGTGACGGGCGCCATCTGCCTGGACATCCTCAAGGACCAGTGGGCGGCGGCGCTCACGCTGCGCACCGTGCTGCTCTCCATCCAGGCGCTGCTGTCGGCCGCCGAGCCCAACGACCCCCAGGTACGAATCATTGCAATAACCCAACTTAACGAGTAAGTTATAGTTAGCTAACGAGAAAACATGAAATAACAAAAAAGCCAACCAAAAAAGAGAATGGAGAATGACCCATTTTGGCGTAGCTAAAGTATATCACGACGCGCTTCCTAGCCCGGCAGGGCGCTTATACAGGGTGTCCCAAAATGGGTGAATCAAACTGATAGGTAGCTCTACTAATGTACTATCCCTAAAAAATACAAAAAAAAAAAAAATAAAGCGCATAAGGAAACAAATTTTTTTTTTTGAAAAAGTGAAAATAAATCAGCTTTGCCTAAGTATGGCTATTTGGTTTGCTTATTATTTGTACTTTTTTCTCACTAACATGATCGCTTCCTTTATCTGTAAACAAACTTTTGAAAATTATGACTAGATTTCGAGTTTAGAGCACTTTATTTAAAAAAAAAATTCGAACTCATTTTTTTTTTTAATTTTTTTGGGTTAGGTTAGTACATTAGTAGAGCTACCTCCCCTATCAGTTTGATTCACCCATTCTGGGACACCCTGTATACACGTCCCAAATACCTTGCCCGACAGTAGGTAGAAACATATACTAACAACTTAAATAATAGAAGGTGACATACATATAATTATGAGTTAATGAGGAATGATGGCCCCGGAGTGAAGTGCGTGCTCGGTGTCCGCAGGACGCGGTGGTGGCCAAGCAGTACAAGGAGAACCCGGGGCTGTTCGCCATGACGGCGCGCCACTGGACCTGCGCCTACGCCGGCGGGCCCGCGCTCATCCGCGACTTTGACGCCAAGGTACTGAACTCCCCACACTCGGTGTGGTCTGCAGGGGGACTAATATAACCTTACCATAATATGATTTTAAACTTTCGCGTTCCATTTCAATTAAAATAGTAAGACACGGGTCTTAACGCGACTTTTGTGACCACGGCTGCAGCATCGCAGCCGAAACGTCAAGCCGTGAGTACATAATGTAACTCGTGAATAAACGTCGCGTTAAGACCCGTGTCTTACTATTTTAATTAAAACCTTACCATGTTCTGCAACATCATATTTTTGCACTAAGCAGCACTCCCTATTTCTTATTTAAGAAGTCGCGACACAGAAGTCTCCCAAGTCATGTGTTATTCTTTTTTCTATTAAAATTTTCACAAGCTTTCAGTCCTTTTGATCAACTCCCTGACGCAGTTTCCGTATATTAGGGTGCTTTCAAATTAAAAGCGTGAGGAAGCGCTGCAGGGTTTTATACAATTTATAGAAGCGCAACGCACGCCGCGTCAGTCACGATGGTGGCTCTGCGACTTCGCTTCTAGAAATTGTATGTGTTACAGTTCAAAACTCATAATCCGTCAAAACCACTTTTGACTGGAAAAGTCAGTCAAAAGTGATATTGATGTTGTTTAGGTTATTTGACCAAAATGAATATTTGCAAATTGCATGTGTCGTCGTGTAAAGTACGGCCAACGAGAAGCGACACCAAATGTAAACAAACCCAATGTCACGGTCATTTGGAATAGCAGGGGTGCATAACTTTTTAATAGTTAGATAGTTAGATTACATATTTTGTAGACAATATAGTTTTTAAAAATATCTGGCAAACCATAAAAATAGATGATTTATTGAATTTTGTTTTTGTTATAATTTGAATTATTGTATAACGAGAATAATAATAACATTTCTGCCTCAAAATGTGCCCGGTGTATGGCAACAAGCCTACCCCTTTTTCATAGAAACTTAAATATATCGGAAAAATAAAATAAGAACCAACAAGTAGTAACAGATTCGCCCACGTGAATTGCAACAACGAAATGCGTTTCAGCTCGTAATGACAACTTCTCAAAATGACAACCGGGTCGCAAAATGTCCACTTCTCGAAATGACAACTTCTTAAAATGTCAACTTCGCTAAAAGACAACTTCTCTTAATGTCTATTTCTCACAATGACAAATTCGCATTTTGTCGACTTCGCATAATGTCAACTACTTGTTGATATTTTATTTTCATTATTTCTAGAGTTCTAGTTCTTCTAGAGTTGTCATCATTCAACTAGAAAAAAATAAAAAAATAAAGGATATTTTTTGTATTATTATTCCATTTTCTTTCATAAACTTTAAATTTTGAAGAATCTGGGGGCACGGCAGTGCCCCCACCAAGTCGAGCAAAAAAGCGGCACGGCCGTACCATCCTTTTCTCGAAGCAATTCAGGCCATTTTCGANTGTACCTTGAATCAAAGATAGAAAGGTGATTATTTTTTTCAAACATCTGCAATTCATAACAAATCTGTAGAAAAAAAGAAATCTGAAAAAAGTCAACCACAAAAAAAGATAAAAATGTTTAAAGCCTACTAGGTCATAAAATTTTAAAAAATCACAAAATTAACTCTATCTCCTAAACTAAGCACAATCGTATAATATACATGGGGGTGATTTAGGTACACCTTGATGTAAGGAATCTAAATTTTTCTTTTAGACCTCACTGTTTTGGCCACCCTGTATGTATACAAATTATTTTTCAAAAATATTCTGCATACGAGTATGTAGTATGCGTAATATGGATAACCTTGAAGTGTCATACCGATCATCTTAAGTGAAAAAGACGTTGGCCGTACTTTAAGCAAAACATGACTGAACATTTTTCTGTGTAACATCTGTATATACCGTGTTTTAAGCAAATAAATGTATTCTTATTGACCAAGGGCATCAGTCAAAACTACTTTTGACTGATTTTTGCAGTCAAAAGTGGTTTTGACCGGTAATGAGATTTAACTGTAACATATGAAAAGGCCCGCGCGGGAGCATGGGAGCGGAGTGTGAGTGTGACGGCGTGTGTGCGCAGGTGCAGCGGCTGCTGGACATGGGCGTGGACGAGCACCAGGCGCGCGTGGCGCTGTCCACCTACGACTGGGAGCTGGAGCGCGCCACCGAGCAGCTGTTCAGTTAGTGCCGCCGCCGCCGCCGCCGCCGCCGCCGCCGCCGCCGCCGCCGCCGCCGCGCCGTGTCCGCCTCCTGCGTGAAGTAACAGCGCCATCTCTGCCAATCCGTTCTTCACACTGACATTCATCTGCACAACTTTTTCAATCAAACATCAGTCTTAAACAGCTAAAAGCTAATATATACCCAAATATAATATATTATACCTTAGATTAGATTAAAAAGATGTGCATGTGTGTGTATGTGACATTAAATTGAATACGCATTTGTTCTGTAAACAGTTTAGGGGCGCTACATATAATGTATAAATGAGCTGGCAAATTCGATTAGACAGTTTATGTTGGATATCAAAACTTTCCCGAAGAAGGCATTGCTACTCGCTCCGGGGTTCCTAGATAAAGTAACATTCCAAATTACTTAAAAAGCAGTACATTTACATCGTTTCATCCATACAAAATTTATAAGGATTGTTACATTACCTATAAGCACTAGTACAATGTCTTCGTTCTTTTATGCAAGATAACTAAACCATGCTGACAAAATAACTAAACCAACTGAATGGTGCTATGGAATAAGCCCATGTGTCCTGTGATGACCAAACGGAAACAATGTCCAGTATTAAATGGTCAAAATGGTTACATAAATATTGTCTCTAAATGTGCTACAACGACATAAATTAGAATATTCACGTACAAAAAGAAAAAATAAGATTACCATAAGGTACTTTATTGTAAGTCGTAAAGATCGCGCGTACAACGCGCGGCGCCGGCGCCCGCGGCGGTAGCGGCCTGCTCACTTTAGTCGATCTATGTTCCATTAATACTATTTACCTTTAATTTACATAAGTATAGTACAAAACAATGAAATCGCAGACTCATCAACGCTATTGTACGATTTTGATGTTGTTATTTACACAGCCTTTGATTCATCAAAATTTATTTCACACTTCACACGTACTATGTTGACGCCTAAGTTCATTCTAGGCGATGCGGTCGCCGATGCGAGTCTACTCCGAATAACGATCGAGGTCGTTTTCCAATTCCAAAACATCCGAGTTGTTGGAAATTGTAGTGAACCCTATTCCAGATGTTACCGAGTCCTTCATTGTTTTTCGAAATTATAAACATATCAATTGACAATAATAAACGTACGAACGATAGCAAAGAGAATTAGATTTAGAGGTTGCGGCGTAACGTCGCTGCATCTCCGTCCATGGCTGGCGAGGGCGGCCCGGCCGTGCGGGGCGGGGGGGGCTCGGCGTGGCTGCGTGCGTGATCTATTCTTTCGAACGTCACTTCCGTTTAAGGTTGAATGCACCGTTTGACAGGAGTCATCTTGCGCGCTTACGTAAGGCAAGCTGTGCCCTATAAGGGCATAAGTACTATCTAGGAATTTCATATTGATTTTTAAAGTAAAGGGACGTCGCGTTGGGTGTTTTTAAAGCTAGATATGATAAATATTTTATATGTAGGTTGCCTAGCCGTGGAACAGGCACGTAATGTAAATATTATTAGAAAATAATTTGAAATACATGATAACGTTAAAATATCTTTGAATATGATTATTATTAAATGTAAAGAATATATTAATTAATTGTATAACCTTGTCGCTTGCCTGTCAAACGATGCAGTATAGCCCTAATTTAAGAAAACATTGATAAAATCACTATTTTCATTTTGTAGAATGTAATATTTTTAGTATATTTTTGTTGTATAGATAGAGAGAATGAAAGTAAAGAGGGTGCGCAGTACTGTTGTTTCAAGTTGGCGGCCGCGGGCGCGGGACGGCTGCATGCGCTGGACCAGTCAGGTTATCTTTGAACAACTGACAGTGCCAAGTCTCGATCGCAAGTACGACACTCAGTAACTGTCGTGCTGTCGGAAGAAGCGTAAACTTTAAAAAATAGTACTGTGATTTTTTCGAAATGTTTAGTTTCGAAGTAATATCGGTATATCATTATGAAATAATTTTTGTACGGAACGTTGAACTCTTATGCGCGTTGATAACTGTTTACAATTGGCAGCAGACCCCGGGCACAGGCCCGAGATCCGGCACTGGCGGCACTTCAACGTAGCGAAACGTTTCATCAGCACATCAGACTAATTTTATTGCTAATTTTAATTTATCACAACTGCTTTAAGATGCCGCCGTGTTCAGCTTGGCGTGCTGCCGTCTTACATAAGTAGTCTGTAAATGCTTGACTATCGATGGAGGAGCAGGTCAATATAAAAAAGTGCATAAAAGTCTTGCCTTAAACAGCTGATAGAGACTGTGCTATCCCGACAAAGTCGTTCCATTATAGGCGTATTTATATTACAGCTAATTTGAATAATGTAGGTAACGTAGGTCTGGCGGCCATAGGATCTGAACAGACAATAACTCCCGCATATCACTGTGAATTTGTATATCACTGTGAATAAATCCCGTGATTGTGTCACGCACGCCGCGGCGCGTCGGGCGGCGGGGCTGGAGACGTCGCGGCCCGCGGTGCTGGTCCCCGGCGGGTAGGTGAGGGCGTTCATTGTTCATTTATTATTTGGTGGAGGTAGTCGTGAGAAAATGCGAAATAAGAATAAATCTTTTATCGTATCTAGGGTTGCCAGGTGTCCGTCTTTAGCCGGACATGTTGGGCTTTTTACGGTCTTGTCCGGCCAAATATTGGCTTGTCCGGCCTGTCCGGCTTTTGTTAGGCTTTTCATGTGGCTGCCGTGCCAGCCGAAAGTCGAGCAGAATAGTATCAAGCGCACGCATCATGATGTTAGGCACCCGATGATGATAGCACTACTCGTGAGCTATGACACTAATGTCCGGCTTTTATGGTAAAATGTCCGGCCAAATGAAGCACAGAGTCCGGCTTTTGTGTTTTTGGACCTCTAGTTTTATCTATGTTCAATTATCAATGGTAGGTAACAGAAAAAAGCCTTCCTTAAAATTAAACTTGATTTTTGCCTAAACTTGACTCAACGAAACAAAATTAGACGACAGACGCCGGCGCACTAGACACGAGTCGTGTCGAGTCATCGGCATCGGAAAACCCTTAACCCGTGTGCAATACGATATCCGTCCTGCTTTCGTGCGTCGCAGTCTCACACCACAAGGGTTGTTTTGTTCGTGCTTACGAATCGATGCTAGTCGAAGAAGCTTGTGCGCACCGTGGCCGCGTGGCCGCGTGGCGGGGACGCCGATGTCGCGCCGGCGCCGTCTGCTGCCGCTCCACACTTGGGTAGTCGACACCTTATCACCCTAGACTCAGAGACACAACTTAGTCAACAGAGACAATTTAGTCCTGAAAATCCAATACCTTTCTCTATGGTGCAAAATTATATTTAATATAAATTGATTTAAAGCCTATTCAGACAGTTCATAAAAAGTGGGTAAATTGACTAAGAGGTGCCAACTAAATATAACCCAATTTTGAAAGTGGCACAGCGGAAAGATGTCTTGTTGATCATCCACCTCCAAGAAGCTCTTCACGTGCTTCCAAAACGGTAGAGTCGTCAAGTAAGGTCGTAGAAGGTTGTATTTAGTTCCTGCAGGGGACAAGCGTCTGCGGGACACGAGTGTCACTCAAACGTTTGTGATTTTTTGATCGACCCAAATGATCGAAGAGTTTTCATAACTAAGTTTTTATAACGCAACTGTGCTAAGTTATCGTGAATAGCACTAGTTTAGACCATCGTTACCGGCCGGTCCCCTCGCCGTGTCCCGCAGGCGCGCCGCGGGCGCCGGCCGTCGTCTGGTGGAGGTGTAGTTGCTGGTGCGGTCTCTGGAGCCAGCTCCGTGGAAGTGGCGCGGGCGTCAGGGTCGGGGCGCGGGACTGTTCTATATAAGTTAGGCAAGTAATATAGTACAGGTGGTGTCGTTCACATTGCACTCATGTTGTAAAAATGTTCTAATAAATAAATATGAAAATGCAATTTGGCCATAATGATGTAAAACGATACGAACTCGGGAGATGTTAATGGCGATACTGTTCNGGCCAGGAAATCTTTAACGTTTTACATAAATATATTGACTTGGCCATCGCATGAAAACACGTGTAAATTAAATTATTTAGTGCGATGGCCAAGTCAATAATTTATGTAAAACGTTAAAGATTTCCTGGCCTGGACTTGGTATTACATGGATCTCACAACTTTTTACCGTAGAACAACTGAGTTGCGAGACTTGGTTTTTTTGACAAGTATTGTTTTTGATGGGATTTGAATGTCTTAATTACTACACGTGATATATCATTGGAAAGAAGAGAAGCTAGAGATGTTTTTAAGATCATTAGCAATCCATTATCACCTTTAGTTTTATTTTTAATGCAATTTTTTTATCGTGGTTTGTACTTTTGTTAAACTTTGGCGGCTCATAACAAGCTATCCAATCATTATCTGGATCTGAAATGTATTTTATTTGACTAAAGACATATTCGATAATAATATCAAATAAAAAAGCGGTTGAAAGAAGCGGGAGAAAAAAAATTGTTGCAGTTTTTAGGTCAAATTTTGGAAAAAAATTAATAAATACAAAAATATCAATTAATAGTTCACTAAGGGTCAAATAGGCGAAGTTGTATTCTTAAAAAGTTTGTCTAACCTTCTGCCAAACACTCTGTATTGCTAATTANTGATGCGATTTGGGTATTTTGGTGAAATTACTAAAAAACTTAGTATAAAAGTAGCCGCCTGACATGGAACGTGGTATGGGGGCTGAAAATATAGGAAATGACCCATTCTATCCGCCAAATCATTTTGGCACACGATGCGCCAAACACCCTGTATATTAATTATTATTATATTATTAATGTACTTAGTGTGATTTATATTTTTATTAAATACCTCTTGACATTGAAATATAGAAGTTTGTAAGTAGACCGGTTTTATTAATTCTGACTGACCCTCGATACAGATACGAATCCCGCAATGTCACGAAACCGATGACGGATACCTTTTGCGAGTATGTATAAGCGACGAGAGAATGTGATCCGGGCGACCAACCGGCCGACACTGGCGAAGCGCGTGCCACCGATCACCGATGCCACGGCACGACGACTCGACTGTTTTTACTTTACGACAGCGTAGACACAAGGGGCTCTCATAAATCAACGTGCACATACGTGAAGGTCAAAGCTGAATAATAAAGCACCTGTTGCGTTACAAAGCCGACCGCACCTACGCCGTGCGCGCGCGCGGGCGGCGCGGGCGACAAGTGCAGGCTGCGCGGCGGCTGCGGGGCGGGGCGGGGTGCCCGCTGCCGCCCGCGCCCGCGCCCGCCGCCGCAGCCAGTCGCAGCCGACGAGCCGAGCGGACGCCCGCGCTCACCCCACGCTCGCCACCGCTCGGAGGGCAGCGTCACATCATCAGAATGTGACTAAACGAGTGTACGCCACCGATGGTCGCTTCCTTCGCCTTCCCTGCGACGTTGACGTCGACAAACTTTTATCACTTTCTAACGTATTCAATTTTCCGCGTGTGTCTCGCTTCGTACTCGCGACAACAAAACGTGTGTGTGTATAAATAAATATTAATTGTATAGTGCGTTAAGCGGTACCCGACATGACTATATCTTATGCCGGCGAGGTCCCCAACGGTAGCAGCTTCGGATGCTTCTGGAGGATCCTTCTCAAGTAAGTGCACGAGCGACGCCGGCGCCCGAACAGCTGTTCGCGCACAGTGTCCGCCTCGGCAGCCGTCGGTCGCCTATTGTGACGTGAGGTTTGTGTTCGTTTATAAAATAACCCGCGGTTCTCAGAGCCGTGCCCGTGTTTACGTCGCGCGATCGAAAGTTTGTTATTGGCTGTGCAGCGGCCGAGGATCGCGCCGACCTTGGCGCTGCCGGGGCTGATGAATGCCAGCCCGCGCCGCGACGAAAGGCGGCGAAAGTAACCGTGACGCATGCGCCGATCGAATCAAACCTGATTCGACATTACTACGCTGCTGTGATTTCCTTTTCATGTCAATTTCTTTACTCCTATTAGAACGACTATTGAACGACTGCCCCATGTGCCATATTTCAATCACAATTGTTAAATGCGCTCCAACCTCTGATGGTTCAGAGCAGTCCTCAGGCACGCACTCCTCCCGCGCTGGGCCGTCGACGTAGTCAGCTGAGGTACCGCTAGCTATGCGCGGAGCTGGACACGACTCCTATTATTTATTTTGCTTATTTCGCAAACGCGTTATAAGTCAACGGTAAATGCAATAAGTCACAATGAGTCGAACTTGCAACAACGCGTACTACATAACAGGACCTGTCGGATTGTTCTCGTTTTGCTCACGTTCTACACAATACAGACTGTTTCTCTTTGTTAATCCAAATAGTAAAAGCGCTTCTAAAAGACTATTTGCAAATAATAAATGACTTTATGACTAAATTATGTTCGTCCTCTATAACTGCTTGTATTCTTGCATTCGGATGTTATGAACTTACGAAGCAATAAATGATTATGATTGTCGCTGGCAGATATGAATGAGACCTAATAACAAAGGCCTAGGTAGTACTGGTGGGTGTAATAAATAAATAATAAAATAAAATAAACATCCTTGGACATTTTACACTACGCTTCTAGTCCCAAACTAAGCAAAGCTTGTACCTACTATGTGTACTAGACAACGGATATAAACATACTTGAATACTTTTTTTTTGTAAATACATACCTATTATACATAGAAACACCCAGACCCATCACAGAAAATAAAATTCATCATTTTGAATGTCTGCCCGGCCGGGAATCGAACCCGGGACCTCTCGGCATAGTAGTCCTTTCCGAACCACTACACCAAACGGCCGACAATAAAAATGTAATTGTTACTCGTTTTAGATTTTACCTCTTGCTTGGCACAGCGCTAGCTTATCGGATATATCTAAATAGGTACCTATAATATACAGGGTGTTTGGCGGAAGGTTAGACAAACTTCGTGGGTGTATAGGTAAGGTCATTTTAAGAATACAAGTTCGCCCATTTTACCCTAAGTGAGCTACTTTTTTTTAATTGATATTTTTGTACCGCTAAGAAAGGATTTTGCGAAACTCCACCCCTAAGGGGGGTAAAACGGGATTCACGCGTACGAAGTCGCGGGCGGCCGCGGCCGCTATTACTTATATGACTGTATACTTTAAAATATACATACTTATAGTAACACCCACACCCGTCACAGAAATTTAAAATGTTATCATTTTCTGCCTGGCCGAGAATCGTACCCGGGCCCGGGACCTCTTGGCATTCTAGTTTGGTTTGAACCGCTACACTAATATTGTGACTAAACGGCCATCCAGGCTAGGATCTTGGAATCTTGGTTTGGCAGCGCCAAAAGGAAGGGAGGGGGAGCGCTTTGTGAAAAAAAGGGATTCACAAACCTCAAGTTATAATAACGAAGTCATGAGCACGGTAAACTTTTTAGGGTTCCGTAGTCATCACAAGGAACCCTTATAGTTTCATCATGTCCATCTGTCCGTCCGAGGTTTTGCTTGGAAACTATTAGCAAAAAAAGTCGAACTCGGTGCGCGATGACTGTGACTCGCACTTGACCGGTTTTTATACATACAGGATGTTGATTTCAATCCTCGCCATTTTTATTTAGGTGATCTATTAGGATGACTTACACAGGGTGTGGTTTTGTAAAACAACGCTCATCTCAGGGAAAAATATTTATACAGTTTTAACTATTACTTTATGGGTAGTAATTAAACCGGCTTCTTTTTAATAGCATTTTAGTCCTCAAAAAATGTATGTTGTCCTCTGAATTACTTCTTAAGTCAGCCACAATCAATCATCATCATCATCAACAGCCCTTTACAGTCCACTGCTGGTCTATGAGCCTCCTCCACTATGGTGGAGGGATTTGCCATAATCTCCACGCTTGGCAGGCGGGTTGGAGATCGCAGTTTAAAAGATTGATGTTTTTCAGAGAGCGCTGCTGCCCATTCTCTGTTTGTTGTGTAGTCCCTAAGTCGCCTCTTACGACACCCGCGGGAAGAGTAGGGGTTGGTGACAAATGTATTCTACTCTGCCGTCACCACACGGCGTCACACGGCCACAATCAATGCGCACCAATAAAGCACTATTTTAGCCACTATTTATCTTAGATGTTAGCCTCTGTAAATATAACTTAGCATGGCAAATATTATTTAGCATCTAAAATTTCGAAGTAATTTGATACACGATCAGATTAAACTATTCATTTATTTTGGCTTTTCAACAATGAGTACACTATTGAAATTTAAAATACTTATTTAACTCCCTAAATATGGCGAGGATTGAAATCAACACCCCTGTATAAGGCCTAAAATAAAATAAAAGGTAATTAATTCAGGCATAGCCCATTTAAAAGTGTAAGTAACAAAAGTCTTGAATAAGCCTAGACTAGAAGGTGCCTGGATGCTGGCGGCGCAGGGCCGGACTTTGTGGAAATCGAAGCCTTTGTCCAGCAGTCAGTGGAAGTCATTCGACTGAAACGAACGAAAATAAGCCATAAGCTCCATGCGGTGTGTAACTATTAACTTTTGTATGTAATTAACGATTGTTATTTGAATTGGTCAATTTGTGAATTGGACCATTTGCTAATTGGACAATTTGCGATTTCTACAATGTGAGAATTGGACATTTTGAGCCCGCTGGACATTTTGCGAATTGGACGAAATGCGTCCAAACGAAAATTCATACTCGTACCTATATCGAAAATATTTGCTAACTAAGAACGACAAAATTATTTTGCAACGAATCATATTATCCGTGACCGTGATTCCTCTAATTAATTAATGGAGTGATCCGGTTTAACCTTAGGATACTATCGGCCCGCCCGCGCCGCCCCGGCTTCGCACGGGTATACATACGTTAAGGGTATACAGTAAGTATTTAACTATTATAAAAAAAATTAATATTATAAATTAAAAAGATGTTCATTAGAAAAAAATGGAAGTTTAAAATTATGGTTTTAATCTAATCCTATCTAACCTTAAGAGGTATGCTGTGGGTTTCTTGTCGGCAGTTTAATGTAGGTACCTACCTAGCTTACATCAAATATATTTTTTTTTATTATAGTTCGAAGTAGTATAGTAGTATCGAACCCGGAACCTCTGGGTATAGTAGTCCGTTCTGTTTAGGTGTTAGAGGTTCCGGGTTCGATTCCCGGCCGGGCAGATGTAGTACCTACCTATATTCGTTAAGCTAGCGCCTAGCACCCTTAACACAAGCATATTATATGCTTACCTTGGGGCTAGCTGGCGCTGTGTGAAATTGCCCAAAGATTTGTTTATTTACTTATTTATTATTTATCTGTGAAATTTTCATAGTCGTAGGTCTACAGTTTGACGTGTACCTACCTACTTCTTCGTTATCGATGGGGCTTTGTATGTACAATCAGCATAACCCATTCGACGTTCGCGTAAACGGCTAAGTTAACAGCAGTTTGTGTACTTAATGTTTTCGTATTTTTCATTGTAAGTAGGTTACGAATTAGAAGGCCGGTTGACACTGAACTTAGTAATTAGTAAGCGGTGCCTAAGCGTCAGTGCAAGGCTGCGCCGAATCCGAAGCCCATGATTTGGTATTCCGCGCAAGACCGCGCTCCTCTGTTCGTTAGAGGCGCGGCACATGTGACCTGTCGATCATGGCCGCGTTAAAGGAAAAAATACACTCAGTTAATCAATAATTATTTCGCACAATATAGACACGAATATCTAAGGTTAATTAATTTATTTTTTTTAATTGGAAAACATTCAGCTTAATATTTTCTCTGACATTTTAAATGTACACATCGCATTGTGTAGCTAGGTAAGATGATGCGAGGTAGGCGCAGGTTTTGTAATTTACGACTAATAGGTAGGGACCTACAACCAATATGCACACTACACTGTTCCACCAAACTAAGCACAGCTTGTTCTCACGTAGCGGCGTAGCATGGGTTGGCACCCGGGGCGGAAGTTGGATACGATATGATACGCAATCATATCGTAGCCTAGTAAATATCATATCGTAGTTGTATGTGGCATGCTCCAGAGCACAGAGAAGCGTCTGGTGATTAGCACCCGATGGCCTTGCGCCCGCGCCGTCCTTGTCGTGCAGATGCGTCAGTGGCATCTAATCTGCGCGACTGAGTTGGCACTCCGTTGTCACCACCACTGATGCTTGGCAGTTTGGCACCAGGGGCGGACGGAATTTGCTGATACAGTATTGCTTTTTAAACATTAGACTTTTTTCGGAAAATAGGCTTTGAAGAAGCGCTTCTGTGCTGAAGAAGCAGCGCAAGAAACTCGCCCTTATTGACACAACACAAGATAGACCAATATGTGGAGTACCTAATGTGGACCCCACTACAGCATTGACAGTGACCGAAGTTAAGAATAAAAGTAAATTATAAGTCAAAAAGTAGGCACTATAGGTAATTTGAAGTGATTTCCAAGAATGTAGTGGAACATGTTATTAAATATGATTTGTGTAGAGAGAGACCTGCTTCACGTTTCCAGGTATTGAGTATTTAGTTTTATTTGCATTTAACACTAATATCTAGTACCGACATACTAACAGTTAAAGTAATGAAGAGAACCTGTGACAGTGTGTCTATTGTATCATCATTTTCTTTACCTCTATCAACTATTAGATGTGTCATCAGCACATAACACAATAAT